GAGGAGATGCAGCACCACCAGAAGGTGTTGAACAATAAGCCGATCGCGGAGGCGGGCGACCCGAAGAAGGCCGACTTCGCCGTGGCCACCTCCGTTGTGCTGGCGGCCGAGACTGCCCTCGACCAGGTGCACAACGACACCTGGAACAACCCCGCGGCGGAGCTGGTGCTCTCCCAGGCGGCGCGGGTGTTCGTGGCGGCGGAGCGCGCCCTCGGTGAGGCCAAGTTCTCCTCCGCGGAGGGCCGGAGTTCTCGTTGCTCCTGATGGTCTTCGCGTTCCCCAGCGGGTGGGCCCCCGTTAACAGCCCTCCGGCCTTCGTCGTCGGTGTCTTCGACCTCTTCGTGTGGGTCTTCGGAGGCATCAGGCCGCCTCCCCTGGTGGACGTACGCTGTCCTTTCATCTGATCGCTCCTGATCGCTCCTCCTCCTTCTCTTTCTCCTCCTCCTCCTCCTCCCCCTCCTCCTCCTCCTTCTTCTCCTCCTGCCCCTCCTCCTCCTCCTCCTCCTCCTCCCCTCCTCCTCCTCCTCTCCTCCCCCTCCCCCTCCCCTCTCCTCCTGTTCCTCCTCCCCCTCCCCCTCCTCCTCCTCCTCCTCCTCCTCCTCCTCCTCCTCCTCCTCCTCCTCCTCCTTCTCCTCCCCTTTGGTCCTCCTCCTCCTCCTCCTCCTCTTCCTCCTTTTCTCCTGCTACCTCCTTTCCGTGCAGCCAAGGCGCTGCGAGAAGGACCGCTCTGGGTTCGGAAGGGGCTCGATGTTCCTGAGGTCCGTCCACGGCTGTTCCTCTTTCTTGCCCTCCTCGGGCGCGGGGGCGTTCTCAGGGCCACGAAGGGGCTTCGTTCCGTATTTAGCGTTCCTTCATTCGGCGACCCGTTTGTATGGTCATGGGATTAGATATCTTCCTCGGCCCCCTCATTTATCCCTCTTCGATTCACCACACCATCCTCGCTGCAATTCCTGAGAGACCCATGCATTTCGCATCATGCTCCTGGACAGCTATGGCCCTGAATCCTGACACATCCAGCAATTACACTGACGGATGGCGGCTTGTTATCAAAAACTTGGCCGTCGCGCGCATCCGTCTGAAAATGTTCTTCCCACGGAGCGGAATCCAGCAGCGCAGTTTCTTTGTTGTACAGTGGTCTCCGCCTTGTATACACGGTGGTTCCTCTCGTCATCGTTCTGCACACAGTCGTTTAAACTCCTCCAACAGCTAACTACAAGGATGAATGCTAGTTCCTTTTGAAAAGGTGAGCCCCGTTTGCAGAGCTCGTTCGCTGGATGCTCATCCGGAAACTTGTTGGGGGAGGCGGTTATTTGGAAGGCTGTTGTGTCTTTGACCCAGACGCTATAACTCCCTAGAAGGGGAGCTCATGTTCAAATTCTGTCCCGCCTGGGAATTCCTTACACCTCATGATCGATAGGTTTCGGCCAAATTCGAGTACATGGAGGTGGTGCGGCTTTCTTCCAGAATCGCGCTCTCGCGTCGGCGATTGGCATTGTACCCCAATTATCCGACAACATAAAGCGCTGGCAACCTTGAAACCGATAACCGTTACAGTTCTTTGAGTTTTGTTGGTAAGCGGTTACACTGCCGAGTTTGACTACAACCGCTAATGCGCACTACAAGTACACGTGTCGGTCATTCTGCAGGCATGCGAGACCTTTACCCTTCCAGCGGGCGCTGGCCGCAGTGAGCAGAGGCACCTGTACTGACGTATGTGGATTAGATATTGGGCTTTGGGACAGGAGGGCATTTTGCATCGTTGGCGGTGTGTGCAGGGTTTGCTCTTATTGTCTTGTCATCCTCTTCTCCTCCCCGCTTCCTCCTTTTAGTAGGAAGAGGCGGTGGAGGAGTTGGAGTGGAAGAAGAGGGAGAGGAGGAGGAGGATGCTGAGGAACAGGACGCGCAAGAGGAGGATTAGGGTGACGTCGAAGCCTTTGTTGCCGGACACACGCCACAGAACGCCTCGGGTTTACCCGTTGACGTCGGTCTTCTCGGCAGCCCCGAGCTGCGGCGACCGCCGTCGTTTCGCATGGTTGTCGCTGCCTTATCGCGCCATTGTCGCTGAGCGAATCCAGTCGTCGTCGTCGTCGTCGTCGTCGTCGTCGTCGTCGTCGTCGTCGTCGTCGTCGTCGTCGTCGTCGTCGTCGTCGTCGTCGTAGCTGCTTGCTGGCGGGGCCCGCTCGCAATGGCGTCTGCTCCCACGGGCCTGGTCGCTTCTGCCATGCGCTCCTGCAGGAGGGGCGAGGGAACGGAGGCGCAGGCAGATGTGGAAGAGAAGGGGGACGGGGGGAAAGAGGGAGAGTGATGAAGAGGACGAAGAGGACGAAGAGGAGGAGGAGGAGGAGGAGGAGGAGGAGGAGGAGGAGGACGAACGGGGAGAGGAGGAGGAGGAGGAGGAGGAGGAGGAGGAGGAGGAGGAGGAGGAGGAGGAGGAGGAGGAGGAGGAGGAGGAGGAGGAGGAGGAGGAGGAGGAGGAGGAGGAGGAGGAGGAGAGGAGGAGGAGGAGGAGGAGGAGGAGGAGGAGTAGGAGGAGGAGTGAGGAGGAGGAGGAGGAGGAGGAGGAGGAGGAGGAGGAGGAGAGAGGAGGAGAGGAGGAGCAGGAGGAGGAGGAGGAGGGAGGAGGGGGCGTCGTCGCCGGCGTCGGGCCTTCGTCGTCGTTGTCGCGGGTCGTCGTCTCCCCGTACCCGGCGGCGGCGCGCCTCCCCCCACCCCTGGTCTCCCCCCCTCTTCTCCTCCCTCCCTTGCCCTGCCTTCCCCCCCTCCCCCCTCCTATCCCCTGCTCGCCCTGCCCTCCCCTCCTCAACCGCCCTTCCCCTCCCCCTCCCCCCCCCCGCCCCCCTCCCCCCACCCTGCCTCCCCCCTGCCCTGACCCATCGGGCCCGTCAATGAAGCTGACAGTAGCTGTGTAGGCCGCTGCCCATCTCTCGGGATCAGCACGGCAGTCAGCTAGCCTGACTGGCGGGCTGCCCGTGCCTGGGGGTTCTGGCCACGGGTGGGGCGACGGTGGACACCCCGGGAGTCAGTAGATCAGGAGGGAAAGAAGCACACAGACACAATCAATCGTCCATTCCCCAGAAAATATGGGAAACTATGGGAAGTGGGGGGGAGGACAAAAACCCCGACAATATGGGAAAATATGGGGAATCTGTTTATTTGTGTGTATTTATGTTTGTGTCCCAGGGCCCCTTCAGTATAGCGGGCTCGTTGGGACGCGCCAGCGGTATCGAGAAGAACCAAAGCCAGTGTGGCCCTGGCTTGGGGGGGGTTCGCCAGGCGGACCATCGTGCCCTGCCATACCGAAGGAGGGACGGAGGGGGGAGAGGAAGGAAAGGGAGAGGAAGGAGAAGGAACATGATGATGACGATGATGATGGTGGTGCTGATGATGATGCTGATGATGATGACGATGATGATGACGATGATGAAGGTGATGATGATGCTGATGATGGTGATGATTGTGATGATGCTGGTGTTGATGATGCTGATGATGGTGGTGGTGGTTATAATTATGCTGGTGGTGATTATGATGCTGAGTGTGATAACGTTGCTGCTGCTGATGATGATGACAATGATGGTGCTGAAGATGATGCTGCTGCTGATGATGATGATGCTGATAATACTGGTGATGATGCTGGTGACAATGTTGACTATGCTGATGATGATTGTGATGATGATGTCAATGATTGTGATGATGCTGCTGCTGATACTTATGCTGATGGCGATGATCATTATGGTAATAAGGCTGCTGCTGATGATGCTGATGCTGATAATGCTGATGCTGCTGATAATGCTGATGCTGCTGATTTTTTATGATGACGATGATGATGATGATGATGATGATGATGATGATGGTGCTGATGCGCTTGCTGATGCTGGTGATGGTGATGGCGATGATGATGCTGACGATGCTGATGATGATGATGATGATGACGATGCTGTTGAGTTTGATGGTGATGATGACGATGATGACGATGATGATGACGATCTTGATGATCATGTTGATGATGCTGATGATGATGATGATGATGCTGATGGTGCTTATGATTATGAAGATGATGCTGAGGGTGAGTATGATGGGATTGAGGTTGTTATTGATGATGAGGATGATGCGTACGAGGATGCGGATGATGATGGCGATGATGATGTTGATGAAGATGAATATGATGAGGATGACGATGCTGGCGATGATGATAATGCTGATTGTGCTTGTGATGATGCTGATGATGATGTTGATGATGATGCTGTTGATGATGATGGTGATGCTACGGATGCTGCTGTTGATGATGAGTATGATGATGATGACGACGATGCTGATGATGCTGATGATGGTGCTGATGATGATGATGATGATGATGATTATGATGATGATGATGCTGCTGATGATGATGATGATGATGATGATGGTTGTGGTGGTGGTCGTGATGATGATGATGATGCTGCTGGTGATGATGATGATGATGATGCTGATGATGATGATGCTGATGATGATGATGATGATGATGATGATGATGATGATGATGATGATGATGATGATGATGATGATGATGAGGTGGAGGTGGAGGAGGAGGAGGAGGAGGAGGAGGAGGAGGAGGAGGATGTGATGGAAGAGCGAGGAAACGGATGAGGAGATGAACAGAAAGCAGGAGGGGGATGGGGAGTGCAGGGTAGCGGGCAGTCTGAGGACGTCGTGCTGACCAATGCCCTGCCCCTTGGCCCTTCCGCTGTTGCCTCTGAGCGTGCCGTGTCTCTTCCCCTCCCGACGCTCCTGTCGCTCCTGCTCCCCATCATCTCCACCCCCTCTTGCTGCTCGTCGTCTTGCTTCCCTTCTTCTGCTGCTTCTGGTCCTCGTCGTCGTGCTTGCCGCCGTCTTCCTCTCAATGCTCCTGCGCCTCCTCGTCTTCCTCTTGCCTCTCCTGCTTCTCCTGCTCCCCCTGCCCCTCCTTCCTGCGACTGCGGCTGGCTTGCCGGCGGGCCTTTCCCAGACCGGCCGCGAAAGCGAAGGCTGGAGGCGTCAGACACCAATCTTCTGCCGAACGTGGCCGTGGGCACCCCCGTGGAGGACAGTGGGCGACCAGCGACGGGGGGAGGCAACCGACAGGGCTCCCCTGGGGCTGACTGCGAGGATGCCTGGAGGCGGTTTGGTGTTAGGAGGAGGAGGAGGAGGAGGAGGAGGAGGAGGAGGAGGAGGAGGAGGAGGAGGAGGAGGAGGAGAGGAGGAGGAGGAGGGGCAGGAGGAGGAGGAGGAGGAGGAGGAGGAGGGAGGAGGGCGGAGGGAGGGAGGAGGGGATGGAGGGGAGGAGGAGGAGGAGGCGAGGGAGGGGAGGAGGAGGAGGGAGGAGGGGAGGAGGAGGGGGAGGGAGGGAGGGAGGAGAGAGAAGGGAGGAGGAGGGAGGAAGGAGGAGGGGGAGGGAGGAGGGAGGAGGGAGGGAGGAGAGAAGGAGGGAGAGGGAGGAGGGAGGAGGAGGAGGGGGAGGGAGAGAGGAGGGAGGGATGGAGGGATGGAGGAGGAGGGAGGATGATGAGGCGAGGGAGGAGGAGGAGAGAGGGGAGGGATGAGGGAGGAGGGATGAGGGAGGAGGGAGGAGGAGGAGGGAGCAGGGATGAAGGGAGGAGGAAGGGAGGAGGGAGGAAGGAGGAGGGAGGAGGGAGGAGGGAGGAGGGAGGAGGAAGGATAAGTAGGAGGAAGGGAAGGGGGAGGGAGGAGGGAGGAGGGAGGAGGAGGGAGGAGGGAGGAGGCAGGAGGGGGAGGGAGGAGGGAGGAGGGAGGGGGAGGAGGGGGAGGGAGGAGGGAGGGGGAGGGAGGAGTGAGGAGGGAGGAGGGAGGAGAAGGAGGGAGGAGGGAGGAGGGAAGAGGCAGGAGGGAGGAGGCAGTAGGGAGGAGGTAGGAGGGAGCGGGGAGGAGGGAGGAGGGAGGAGGCAGGAGGCCGGAGGAGGAGGAGGAGGAGGAGGAGGAGGAGGACTCTGCTGGACTCTGCTGAGCGCCGCGAAGCGGCCAAACTTCAATCACTATCGCCCTCATCCTCCACTGCTGCAACACACTGCTGAGGGTCGCCACCACCGCCGCTGTCACACGAGCTCGACTCTCGAAGCCGAGCAGCCACCTCCCTCAGGGCGGCGGCAGCAGGCGAGGCGGCGGTGGCGGCGCAGCGCGGGGCCTCGCGCCCCACGCTCATCGCGGCCGCAGTCTCGCTCGGGTGGCGGGCCGACGACACGCGCATATACTTGTCAAGAGGATCGGCCTCGACCCCCCCATGACCCCAGCACAGGCGTTCCTTCCACCTGAGCACCAGGGGCGGGGCGAGAGCGGCTCACAGACTCCCCTGTCTGAGCCGCCATCACGGACACAGGTGGACCACGATAGCTTGGAAACAACCCTTTCTGAATTCGTCTCACATTCTCCCCACCTTTGCGCGTGGGGTGGGGTGGGGGGGGAATCACTCACATGCAAGGTGTCTGGCATCAGCCGTGGGCGTGCGGCCACAAGTCACACAAAAGAGCAGCCCGTACGCCGTCATCTTCGCGAGGGCGGTGGCTGGGATGCAGAGCCACCCCACCAACACTCACCTCTCCCGAGATGGCCTCGAGACCCTCCCCATACTCCGCAGGTAGCCCCGGCGTCCTCTCCGAGTCCAGCGGCAGGGCGAAGGGGCAGATCACGGCATTGGGTCGAGGCGGCTCTGAGCAGCTGGCTCCTCGGGATGATATCTCTGCGCTGCTTGCACCTCCAGCGGCCAGCGAGCGGCACGAAAGCATGAGCGCCCGACGTCAGGGCAACCTCCAAACGAGCAGGCTTACGCGGTTGCTCGACGCTGGCAGGTCGCTCACCGATCCACAGGTCAACCTCAAGCGCCATCAGCAACGCGCGTCGGGCTCTGAGCCTCGCCAGTGCCGCCGTCGTGCCCCAAAGGTCCGTGCGAGGGGCAGAGGGGACGACGCGCACCGGTCCCAGGCCCACTGGGCCGCGGTGCCGGCCCAGACGTCGGCACAGGCGTTGCCCAGGCTCATAGGCAGCTCGAGTTCTGTCTGGATCGACTGTAGCTCTTCCTCTCCGTGGGAGCGGGCCCACAAAACCGAAGCCTCCCCAGAGCCACGGGTTCCAAGGGCACGCCCAACACGGACCCATAGGTCCCAACTCTGGCCCTGGGGAGACTTGGCACGACCACCGTGCCAATCAGAAGCTCAACTCTTACAGTCGGTCACATAGCAAACTTGTCCAGTCGAACCCTCGAGCGCTAAGCAAAGGGCCTGTAGCTCAGCGCGCGGCACAGTCTGCTTCTTACCTACCAGAACCTGAGCAACCCCGCACACGGGGCTCCAGAACGGCGACGAGGGGTCCTGGCGCATCACACCAATAGCCGAGCCGCATCTTCTTCTCCTCGGGCCCGAGCTGTGGTCGCCTCCAGAGCCATCCCCGAAGATGTACAGAGGAGGGGCCCCAGGAGCAACACAATGATCCCAAACACTCCCCTCCCCGCGAAGGACCTTCTGAGCCATCTCAGGAGTCTCAACGAACTTGGGTACCGCAGGGTCCTGCGGGGGCACCCCGCGGAGCCGCAGGGCAGGCTGGGCCTCGAGGCTCGCGAGGGCCTGGGGAAATTAGAAAATCAGTCTCAGTGAAATCCTCGTGCCCGCAATGCGCAGGGCACGTCCAAATTCGAGGCACTAAAGTCTCAGGCCTTTATTTACAGCGGGGGCAAAGCGGCGGGCAGGCGTAGCCTGCAGCGATCTGCCTCTCACGGGTCCGCTGGCCGCCGCCCACGACGGCAAGGTCAGCGGACCACTCGTCGAGCTGCATGCGCTTGGCGAAGCGGTTCAGCTCAGTGCTCACCATGGTCATGTCGGCGCCATGCACGAGATCCTCGCCTGCCACATGCTGAGAAGCCACCTGCCACTGCTGAGTGATACAATCGTCCATGAATGCGCCAAGCATGTCATCGAAGTGGGCCATGACCGCAGTGCCGAACTGCCCATCACCAAAGCTAGGGAACAGCCAATCACCTATCGTGCCATCGGGAAGCGGGCGCGACCAAGCCAAGGGGGACTGAGGATCCCACCCAGCCTGAAGTAAGGTCGCCTGCACAGCGGCGATCGGCCCACGAACATCTTTCCGTCGGATGGCTTTGCCCTTCTTCAGCTTGGCCAGCACCACAGGCCACGCCCTCTTGATTCTGGGGTGAAGGCACGGCGGAGATAGCCATAGAGCAACCCATTCACGAAGCAGCTGGCGCCTGAGGTCCACTCCAGGGTCCGCCGTGCCGTAGACCGCCTGGAGCACTGTCGTCAAGCACCTGCCTCTCTTAGAACCAGCGGCAGCAGCAGCAGCACCACGACGCATAGCCAACAGTGTGGTAGGAGGTTCCCATAAGCTGATGACCATCACTTTCCTCTGCCGCCTGCGAGCCTGAGCACGACGTTTCATGATCCGAACCGACGCGCGAAAACGAGAGGCTGCAGCATCAGAGCCGAGGTCGACGGCAGCATGAACCTAATCGACAGGTGTGCCCTTGCGCTTCAGTCTCCGCTGCTACTCCATTCCCAATCTCATCACAACTGGCGGCCAGCTTCGTCTTGGAACATCTGCAATCGCAGCTCTGCCAGCCCTGAGGACATCACATCTGCTGTAGCCTCCAAGTCCATGAGAACCTTCTGCTTAGTACCCTCAGCTCGACGTGCGATATCATCGATGCTCGACAGTCCCGCAGGTGGCACGGCACGGTGCACTGAATCCAGCAACCTGTGGAGCATGACCTTCGCCAAAGGGATTCCATGTCCAGATCCAGCCACAATAGACCTTGTAACTTCGATCGCATCAGTGATCTTCGTCGCACCCCTCACACGCTTCGTGGCTCCAGAGGGAGCTCCGCCGAAGGCGCCAGTGGCTGCGTTCGCATGGCGTCACCGCATTAATTGTGGCTCATCCCTCACGCGTTTCGTGGCCCCACAAGGCGATCCTTCTATGACCCTAGTGGTGGGGGTCGCATAGCAGCGCCGCCCACATTCGGGAACCCCCTCACAAGTTTCATGGCCCCGCAGGGAGCTCCACCAGCGGCGCCAGTGCCAGCGCCCGCATGGTGTCACCTCCCTCTTTTGGAACACCCTTCACACGCTTTTTGGCCCCAGAGGGAGCTCCTCTTCCTTCGCTCCACTTGTTCTGCGGTGCTCACCTACGATGGCGGGGCCCTTCGCCAGGACCTTTTTCTTCCTGCAACGTAGACCTTCATAGGGGGAAGTCGATCTGCGGCACTGCTTGTGGATCCCCATAGGCGGTAGGTATGGATAGATCCCCGCCTCGCAGCCGGTGCCCGAGGAGGCGTCCACGGTGGCAAAGCGGCGCGAGGGCGAGGCAGGTCCTGCCCTGCCCTGGGAGGGTACACGACGTGTCCCACCGGCGTGCCCGCCGGGCGCGCCTCCCGCGGCTCTCCCGCGCCCGTCTGGTGGTTGCCTCGTGTCCGGCGCGCTGCCCCGCGACTGTCCCGCGCGCTTGGCTCGCCGCTCCTGGGGTCGTGCCGTGGCTGTCCCACAGCTGTCTCGCGGTTGTCCCGCAGCTGCCGTGGCCTTTGTGTGGCCAGATGGACATGCCTCCTCCTGCAAGAATGCAGCTGGGACGGCCCCCGCCCATGGGCGACGTGGTGGTCCTGCCGCGCCGGATCCATCCAGCATGGTCTCGGTTGTCCCGTAACCCGTAGCTGCCGTGGCTGTCCTGTGGCCAGGTATTCCTCCTCCTGCAAGATGATAGCCGGGATGGCCCCTGCCCATGGGCGACATAGTGGTCATGCCGCCCCAGATCCATCCAGCACGGCCTCCCAAACCGCCAAGATGCCCTCCAAGATGTGGTTTAGTCCACCCAAGGCCTATAAGATATTCTAGCGATCCCGCCAGTGCGGCCCAAGATGCCCTCCAAGACGGCCGATGTGGCTGAACATGACCATCAGTACGGACCCAGATGGTTTGATAAGGCCAAAAGAAGCCGAATCAATCCCCTAGGTGACCCTCAAGGCCCCGGCCAGGATGCGACATGCGACGCTCCTTGTTCAGGAGGGAACGAAGCACACAGACACAATTA